GCCTATGGCATTTTTTTGAAGGGAGTTATTTTTGGAGGGGGGGTTTCTTTTTTGGCTGGCTAGCCTTCGAGGATTATTTCGTCATCTTTCTTGTGTGTGTGGTGACTTGGAAAGGGGGAGGGGATTATAGGAAGGCGACTTCTACGCTACCATGCCTTTCTGTCTGTGTGTACCTCTTTTTCTTTTCTGTTAAAATTTTGTCATCGCGGCTTTTGTTTGTATGCTGTGTGTGTGTGTGAGTATAAGAGAGAAAGAGAAGGTGTATGTAGCTCATTCTTATTCCTTGAATGTGTGTGTATGTCATGAATCCTACGTGTTAGGTAGAATGACATGTTATTGTTAGGGGCTCAGAGTACCAACAGGACGATATGCTTCTTGTCACAAACATATACATATAAATACAGAGTCTAATATAATTTCATCCTTTTAGTAGTAAAAGATGAGGAAGTAGAGATCAAATTTTGGCCAGTGAACCTCTCAATCCTTTCAACTCGCCACTAACCGCCTCACGGCTCGTCAGACTCAATGCTGCAGCCCTTTGTGCGAAACCTACCACATCTTGGATCCGCCTGCCCTGGCTAAGACTGTGGGCTAGAGCCCCACAAAACGTATCGCCAATACCATTTACACTGACTACTTCTTCGGGAGAGAGCACCTTTTCCACAGGGAACAGTCTCACGTATAGCCCCGTAACACTTGATTGCGCATTTGTTGCACTAGACGCACTGTTGCGTGCGAGTACAAACTGGCGCTCAGCCTCGGAGTGTAGTTCAGGTGCGTCAGCGGTAAGAAGTTTGGTCATGAGGACACCTTGAGGACCGAGTTTAGTCAGTATAGTGGGGAAAAAGGGAAGCAACTTGATCGCTTGTTGAGGGATGCCTTGGTCGACTACATCACTGCCTATAGTGACTGCCAGGGGTACGCGGAGGCCGCCATTGGGAATACCCAGTGCATCGATGACGCTGAACCACTCGGGGCTGTCAAAGTAGCCGGACTGGTGTGCGTGGTCGTGTAGAGCACTGAGTTCGTACGTGTTTGGTGTTGTGATGTCTACTAGAGGGGTGGGGAAAACAGTGGGGGCAGCTTTTTGCGGAAAGATTCTTAGGGATTTGGCGGTAGAGACTGGCTCGAAAATAGTGGTTGTGTTTGCTTGATGGGCAGCTTGGAGCCAGGTGTGCAAGGCGGTCGACGACCAGTTTGCATCTGCGACAAAAGCTTTGGGTGGACCGGAGAGGTCGTCGAACACGGTGTTGGCTAGCTGGCGAATGGTGTCGTTGGGTATGGTCTCTAGGATGGACATGTCCGCCATGGCCATGGCAAGATCCTTGTTGGTATTGTTAATGGCAACATATTGTGCCGTCCTGGAAGGTGCAGGCATCGTCTCAATACCAGAGGTTGACATGCCTTCTTCTTGTAGTTGACTGACAGCTGCGCGGCCACTTAGGTCGTCACCCACAGCGCTGTGCAGTCGAACGGATGAACCGAGCAAATGAGAAGCTTTGGCAATATTGTGAGCTACGCCTCCGAGTGATTGGGTAATAACAGCAGGGTTTGACGTATGTGGCAGCGGATCTATCTGGCTGGCTGAAGGTGTTAAAGGAGCAAAATCACACGAAAAGTCTACTGCGAGAGCTCCTGCCACAACGATGTCGGCAGCTTGCTGTTGTTCGGATTTAGATGATATACTGGTAGCAGGTGTGGAAGGAGGCTCAGAAGGCGATAGAGATGCATTGTGCAGCCGCTCTTGAGCGGTAGAGGCCGGACTGGACTGAACGGGTGTGAAGCAAGAAGAATTACGTCTAAGATACTTACATCAGCGCCAGTTTACTATTGAGCTACCAGAGTGTTGGCTCACCCTTGGGCTTCTTGTTGCTTTGCTTCTAGAATGGCGAGTTCCCGTGCTACAATGGCTGCTCGCTTGACGTTGGACTCAATGAGTGCCCTGTTAGCAGGAATGCTCTTGCCCTTGGTAAGCTCCTTGATTTTAGCGAGTACAAAAGGCGTGTTGTCTTTGCCTGAGATGTTTGCGGCGTTGGCTTGTCGCAAGGCCTCTTCGATAACCACGTCCATTTCTTCCTTGGGTATAGCAAATTCTGTAGGAACAGGGTTGGCAAAAAGGAGGCCAGATGAAATTTGCAGTGTGTGTTGCGCATCTGATTGGCGTTAGAGAGGCTCATCGGGAGACAATGGATACTCACGTATGACAGCAGCAGCTTCAATTTCGTCCGCAATAGTCACAGGGCTCTTAACTCCACTGTCTCTGGACCAGAAGGCAGGAAAGTCCACCTTCCCCGTACGTCCGTCGGCAAATGTACCCACTCCCACGCCCTCAGTTTCAAGGTACTCGATTGTTCGCGGTATGTCAAGGAAACTCTTGCAGCCACTGGAGACCACCGTGACTGGTGTTCTTCCAAGCTCCGTCAAATCGGCGGAGATGTCCATGCTCGACTCGGCGCCGCGGTGGACACCACCAAGGCCGCCTGTTCCGAATATCTTAATACCAGCGAGGTGTGCTAGCAACATGGTGCCAGATATGGTGGTGCCTCCATTGAACGACTTGTTGATGAGTCGCGTACCGCATACATAGCCGAGGTCGCGACGTGAGAGCTTCAACGTATTTGCCTGTCCAGCAGAAGAAGCCAGTCTTATGAGCTCCTCTGGATCCAAGCCGACGCGTGCTACACCATCCAAAATGCCTATTGTGGCCGGGACAGCACCGTTGGTCCGAACTACACTTTCGAGGAGGGAGGCCAGGGCTACATTTTCAGGGTATGGGAAACCTGTACGGGCAATTAGCTCATGTCACGTGCATATGTGTCATTGACATGCGCCCTCACCGTGTGTGTAGATGGTCGTCTCCAGGGCGACTACGGGCTTGTTTGAATTCAGCGCCTCTCGCACCTCGTCCGAGACACGAAAAAAACCATTATTGGTCAGGTGACGCCTTGCCAAAGCCCTGGCTATGACCGCAGACGTGGCGGCTATGCGAGGCCGCCTAATTGAGGTTGCCAACAGGCGCATTGTGGTGTTGTCGAGGGGCGTTTGTGGAGGAGCCAGGCATGGAGGGGTGGTGGAGCTATGGGTGTTCACGCACAGACGCGGAGGTGCCAGCCAACTCCGAAGAGAACACGACGCAATAGCATAGCCGCGTGTGAGCCGCCGACAAACACCAACCTCGCACATGACGGGATAGCTTGACTGCTATTCGCAATGAGGTCCATCTCCCTCACAAGCTGCATAGCAGCTCTGGCAACCTTCGCCGCCGCCGAATTAAACTTCTCCGAACCACTGCTGTCCAAGCAAGTGCTCCCTAGCACCTTCGCACCACCCCAGGTATTCAAGAATGCCAATCTAGTCCGCACCACCAATCTCGACAAGGCCTACCCCAGGGAGACGATCAATGTCATTATCCAAAACATTGATTCAAAGGCGCAGTCGGAATACTATCTCCCCTTCGACTCGACCCTGCTGTCAAAGGTCGGCGGGCTCGAGGTGAGGGACAAGAAGGCGACTGAGAAGGGCATCTTCAAGGTTGATGTTGTTGGCTTTGATGCGGAAAGGTGTGTATAGACTGCGTAACTGGTATGCATAACACCGCGACTAACGGAAACAGCTCGGTTGAGTTCTACAAGATCCACCTCCCCGAACCTCTCGCACCCAACGCCCAGCAGACACTCAGCATCTCCTACTCAATTCTCTCCTCCCTCAAGCCGGTCCCCGCCCAGCTCCCTCAGACAGCGAAGCAGTACCTGCAATACGACTTTAGCGCATACGCACCCTCCGCTTACCTGACTGAGAAGCAGCGCACCAAGGTCAAGTTCCCCAACAACGATGTGCCAGACTACACCACTCTCCCCGCCGAGCTCAATGACGAGAACAAGGCCGACCCACAGAAGCAGGGCTCCACCTTCACATATGGAGTTTACAACAATGTGCCAGCTGGCGCTCAGCAGCCCGTAAGCGTACGCTACGAATTCACAAAGCCCGTGACGCACGCCACGCGCCTGGAGCGCGATGTCGAAGTCTCGCATTGGGGCGGCAACTTGGCCTTTGAGGAGAGGTATTGGCTCGAGAATCAGGGCGCCGGACTTAAGAACCACTTTTCACGTGTCGAATGGCAGAGACAATCTTACATGAACCCACCTACTTTTGCTGTCAAGGGTCTTGTCCTTCCTCTGGCCCCCGGATCTGTCGACCCCTACTTCACCGACGACATCGGTAACGTCTCTACCTCCAGGTTTCGCCCTGGCAACAAGGAGGCTTTGTTGGAGTTGAAGCCCAGGTATCCCATCTTTGGAACCTGGAAGTACAGTTTCCGTGTTGGTTGGAACGCTGATCTGTCCTCGTACCTGCGCAAGCTTTCGACTGGCGATACGTATGTGCTCAAGGTTCCTTTCCTTGAGGGCCCCCGCGCTGCTGAGGGCATTTCCTACGGTCGCGTCAACCTCCGCATCATCCTCCCTGAGGGCGCTACCAATGTCAAGTTTTCGACTAATGTTCCCATTGTAGCCGACAAGGTTACGCTGCACAAGACCTTTATGGATACTCTGGGCCGCACTGCACTAACCTTGACATCTATCAACTTAGTGGATGAGTTCAGGGACCGCGATGTCATTGTCACTTATGACTATCCCTTGATTGCGGGATACAGGAAACCTATTGTCATCACTCTGGGCATGTTTGCTGTGTTTACCGTTACTTGGGTATTGGGCAGCATCGATACCAGCATTGGCAAGAAGAAGACGGCATAAAGGAGTTCAAAATAGAAGAAGAAGGGACAGGTGTGACGAGCATGTGCAATGTTATGATATGAAGAGGAAAGAAAAGATGTGGATCGGAGCATTGGGGAGGATAGCTTCGAGCGCGGTTCAGTACTGTTAGGAAGTGAGCGTATATCGCAATGTTTTTGTCATCATGTAACAAGAATCAATATCGGAGTTCAATGTCATCAATCAAGGAGTATCAAGCACTGATGTCTTATACATGGCTACACTAACCATGTGTACAAAGCAGTCTCTCAAGCCACTGTCGTAAACCATTAGCCACCAGCCATTCCAATCGTATTCACCAAGGACAACAAGACAGGAAACAGCAAGTCAACCCTCCCTCTACCCCTTTCAAAAAGGATCCGCCCTCCCCTTAACCCGATGAACATGCCTACACACAACCTTAACCCCCTCTTCACCCCCTCGCCTCCCAACCTCCCACTTAACACACTGCGCAATCCGCTCCGCAATCGCCACACTCCGATGCGTCCCCGCATGACAACAAACACTCATGCTAACCTCCTTATCCCCACTCCCTCTACTACCCTCCTCACTCCCAAACCGCAACAACTCCCTAACCGCCGTCCCCACCGCCTTCTGAGCGCCTACATCTTGCATCACGATATCTTGGATTAAAGGTGCGATGCCTGAGTAGCGGGCGCATAGCGAGGGGGAGGGAGGCTGCACGTTGCGTGCGTCGATGGTGTAGAGATGGCGGATTGGCGGGGTGCGGTGGGGGACTTGGGATGCGAGGAGGATGGTGGTGGCGGATTCGGTGCGCGTGATGTCGGCGGAGTAGGAGATTATGTAGATTGTTGGGCGGAATGGGGGGAGTGTAGGCATGGTGTTGTAGGGTTGTTGTTGTTGTTGTTGTTGTTGTTGTTAGTGATGGTGCTGCTGCTAGTTGTATGGGGGTATTAGGTAGTGAGGTCTTGATGTGTGTTGCTCGTATCTGTGAGGTAAAGGGGTGGGTTGCCGGTATGGAACTGGTCGTTCGTTTCTCTCCTGCTGCTTTGAGTTTTGCAGTTGCATGTCTTGTTGTCTTTGTTCAATAGCTATCTTGACTGTGCTTTGCCGCAAATCAGGTAGGTCGAATTGCACGTGTTTGATTGCCGCCTTTTTGCAACTGTTCTTGTGTGATGAGTGATTGTACTGTGCTATATGCACCGGGCTGGTGTGCGTCTGAGTGCCTGTCTGTATGGGTCGGAAGGAAGTGTTTAGTGGTGGAAATAATGCTTCGAAGTAGGAGTGGTGGTGATGGGGCTCTACCTGGTGAGGCCTAGACATATAATTTGCGCTGTAGGGCTGAGCTGTAATACCGTGAGGATAGTGTAGAAGGTTGAAGTAAGGATGTGAAGTTTATGAAAGGGTAGGAGTGTATCGATGCGTTGTCGCTACTGCCTCGCTTTTGTGCTGTTTTCCCAAGTGAAGTTATACCACTTTTTGATACTGTGGTATGCATAATGGGAGAAACGTCACTAAATAGGAAGCCGTACTTTGGTATGGACTAGATATGTTTGTTTATTATTATAAGGTCTTAAGATAAGCCGACGATAGCACATTATGATCAAGATATCGTGCAACCGTACTTCTTGACAAGATGGTGGGCAGTCCTAGCTTGGGGAGTCACAGTCGTACTAATGATACGGCATTGTCATTCATTCTTCATGGAGCATCTAAGAGGCCGACTGCACATGTTGTAGCCAAGTGTTACAAATGGGTGCTGGAATTTCAGCATGAATTATTGAAGTTGCATACCTAGCTTCAGAGAGTGTAAGAACATTGAAATATGACACGGAGGATATACGGTGAAGATAAAGTAGATTGTAGAAGAGAAGGAGAGTGGCAGATAGTGGATACAGGGAGAATTTTGAACTGAGGAAAGAGCAATAGTAGTGAAGTGAGAGCAAAGCAAACTTGAAATTGGCCTTGAGCAGCACAGCAGCACAGCAGCAATACGTTTCACTTCACTCATTCATATCACTCATTCATTCGTACGTTAGTCTAACAGACATTTATATCATACAAAATCTCTAGTCTTGCATCTTGCCTTCATCAGTTTTGTCAAAGACTCCCGATATGGAAAAGCATACAAGTTTCTACTCATGGACTGCAGCAAAAACAGTGTCAAGATCTGGAAAGCGATGGATTACGTTGGTAGGAGCCACTTTTTTTCGATTTGACAAAAATTCTACACTCTACAACACGGACTACTCACTAATACCAGGCAGCTTAGACGCTGATCAAGCTTTCATGACGAGGGTTATTACAGTGGACCCTGTCAAGACCACCGCTGCACGACATTTGACTCATTGCGCCATTCTATTCAAAGCTCACCTACCGAGCCATCTGTCCCATCCATGAGAGCAAGGAGTGGCCTGGACGCGTTCTCAGGCGTGCCCGGTGGATTATCCATATACGTTTATGTCGCTTGCGTTGGGCATCACTCGGATTCATCCTGGCATTGTTGTCGCTGATCCTGTTGGCAACATGGTCCATACGCTTACAGGGTGGTGCAGTAAAAGAAAAATCCTAGTGAGATCCAAGCATAGCATATAACTTCGTGCATGTATACTTTCAGGGCTTCAGGATACTTGCAACCGCTTAGGGTTGGGCGGCGATATTGTGTGGTGTATGTACTCGCGTCTTGTCTAGACAGCCTCGCAGACCGCTCCAAGGCAAACCCCCTCAGATACCTTGGCAATATGCTCGAAGATCAAGCATTGGTTTGCAAGATTGGAGCTCAGCATCTTTCCAGCGTCTGATAAGCCCGTGCGCTACCCCGAAACAGTGGGCATACCAACTTGTCGTGCGTCAAAGTGGATCTGACATTTTGACGCCTGTCGTCGTTAACGCAAAGACCCACCAACATGCTTACCTAGTGCTTCAGCGATCCCCACGACATCCAACGTCTCGTTCTGTGGGGCAGGCGCAACATCCGCAGGCAGACATGGCGATGCTTCGGCCATCCGGAAATGCGGTCTATGACACAAAGGGCCGATGGGGAGATCTGACTTGCGTTTGGCGAACGGTCTCCATGGGAGGGGAAATGGTGGACCAGTGCACCCGAAACCAAGATGTATTGGATAGCCCTGAGTGCACGTCCAGAACTGCCGTTGTAACTGAACTGCTGACAACAAAATAAGGCCATGATTGGACAACCTCCAATGTTGCTGACGAACACGATGTGACTATTTGGACTCAATTCCATCTCTTGCACTATTGATTGACTCCGGCTTGAGGTCGTTGGACATGTGCCGAAAGATGGTCTTTAAAGGGCCGAATGTATCATCCTTGTGGAATATCGATCCTTTCGGGGTGCTCGTTGCGACGGTTGTTACCGGCTCATGAAATTAGGCAAATAGAAGCAACCCATGGAGCCCTTGGATTGGAGTCATACCCCGTGCCGAGACGTGGGAGGAAAAGGGATCATGACGCGAAATTGGGGTAAGCACAGACAAGACCAAACGCGTGAAAGAACACGTTCAGAACATTCTCCCCCAATCTAATCATGTGCTAGCCCTGACACTTGAATCCATCAGAGTTTCGAAGTCCGAAATACCAAGGCCACCGCCGCTCCTCCTATCGCGACACGAGGCACCGGCCACGCCGCCAACCAAGCGTATATCCACCCCATACCCCAGTTGCTCAACGTATGTACGTGTAAATGTACATCTCGGAACGTAGAATCGGACGAACATGTCACGGATTGCATGGCAACAGGCGGTCACAGATAACAACATATCGAGAACCAACAAAAAAAGGCCCGATCTTCCTGGAAGCATCTCCGACTGTACATGCAGTATCCCGTCCAAGACAGCGTTTAATCTTAGATACATTGTACGCATCTTTACATCCATCTTTCTCCGACATCTGGTGTTGCTGATCTTGCCAATGCTGTCGTCGTCGTAATCTCGGCTGCAGATGCTACATTGTGGATTTATCTCGTGCGGGAGGTGCCTCTAGCCGATGCTACAAAGGCCATCCTGATCGGTGAAGGGAGTACAATGCTCGATTGGCGAAGACGGGGAACGCGCGGAAGGCCGCGGCAAGAGGACCGCAGCATGTTTTGTGGCTTGCCTTGTTCGGCCGATAAACGCTGGGCATCGTTTCGAGATGTTATTCGACGACTGGCAACGTGATTGTGACTGCATACAACAGGTCTTAGTGTCATGTCGGAAAGGCTGAGGTGTGCGTGTGTGTTGATGGCGGGGTCTAGACGTTCATTCAATCCGCCGCATGCGTATGAGGCTGTCATCTACCCCAACCATGCAACATTGGTGGTGGCCCGCATCAACGGCGACGCGCTTCGCGCCTCACTTTCCCCGAATCTAAGCTTCCAACGTCGATGTCGATGGTTTAAACTTTCTCTTTCGGTCTTGGAAGCGCACCGGCTTGCTCCTTACGAGTAGTGTCCAGATGGGGATGAAGATCGTGACCACAGGTTCTCTCGGGTTGCCGCACGTTTGATTGTGGGAGTTGATGCGATGGCGGGAGGCATGATTCCGAGGCTGTGAGGCCAGACATGCCTAGAGTGGCTGTGAAACTCATTGGCCATCGCGAACACGAAGTGAGTTAGCGAAAACCTTGTGAGTAATGTATATATGTGTCCACTTTTGTCGCAGAAGAAAGCATGTAAGCATGTCCAGGAATAGCGTGGGCTGAACAATGATCTTACTTACACAACATGGGTTGATGTGCAAGTCGTCATTCTCAGCCTAGTGTGCTATTAGCAGTAACGATTTTACATGATGATAACTTTATGATTTTCGTAAATGCTGTGTTTCCGCACCAGTGTCCAATTGTTCGCACAAGAAGACGCATTCAAGTCGGCGTCCAATGTGAAAAGGCCCCAGAATTGATCTGTGTTCCGTGTGCCCAACAGGGGAGCCAGCTCGTGAGCATCTGCGGAGTATACTCCGCAACGTCTGAGTGAAAGCCCCTTCCCGCCATTGTCCACGACACGTTTGAACGCTGCCCAACGTTCGCCGTTCTAGTTTAGGTTGCTGCGGTTGGCGCGTTACTGTGCCACAATCCAGGTTTATCAGATCAAAGATTGGAAGGGAACAAATGTCCGTCGTACGCTGCCACCCGTGTTATGCCGGCAATCTTATTTTTGCACATAGATAGTACATACATTTTTGCAAAAACCATGACCCGGAATGCATGCTCTTGCAGCCGATTCGAGTCAGTTAAAATGGCATGTTTTTGCGAGTGCGAAGGAGACGCCATATCCCTTATCTCGGCATTAGATCTTCGGCCCTCCTAGCATGATCTACGCGACTAACAGGGTGCATTTCGGAGTAATCCAAGGCTGACTGTTTAGTACTCCAAACTCTGAAGCAGATGACTTTGTTCGGACAGGTCACTAATGGGACCCAGCGGACCCCAGCTGAATCGCCAATACTCATACGAGTGTTGGACTTACCGTATACTGAACGTAGCTTTTGTTAAGACCGCCTTCGCCCAGCCTCATCGAGTAAGTATTGGCCGCAAAGACGTCACGCGTCGCAATGACGCCCGCGTTTCAATAGTGGTTAATATCATCACCTCTCCAGGGTCCAAAGCTATGCGCTCACCGGAGAGTACTGGTGCGCTGATCTACCAATGATATGGCGCCGGAGAGAGGTCCGACCAGCCCATGAACAACAGGAACAAGGGCTGCTGGCAATAATTGACCGACCAAACTGGCCGCCATCCGCCCACCTGATTGTACGCGGCTTGGTCTTGGTTTGCACATTATTGCAACATCCGGGTTGCCGTGTTCGGATGGTGCAAGAGTGTGATTTGATGTTGTACATGGGTCGGGTTTTCGCTTTGGCTGACATGCGAGTGGGGCGCGGTATACCGAAATAATCACGGTTCGCGACAGTTCAGACGCGGCTGGCTGGAAACAGTAACCAGAACACATGTACGGGATAGACCGCCAGCCGCGGCTGTCATATTTGTGGTGTTCTGATGTTGTTCTTCGCTTGGGCTTTCCCAGTGCAGCTGAAGGTCGCTAAGAGCAGTCCGGCAACTTACTACAACGACATAGAGGGGGTGGAGAAATGAAGGGTGGAAAGGGAGGGGGCACTAAAGATTGGAGCGCCTTGGCGATACGGCGGGGAAATCTCCGGCGGGATGCGATGGACCAGACATGTGGAACAAGATGGGGACACTTGATTGGCTGTACATGTCGCTAAGCCCTACACATCTACGCATGTATTTCGTACGCACATCAAGACCGGCTCACGAAGCAACAGATATGTAGTGTGCAGAAAAAGCTCGTGGTGAAAAGGCATCATGGAGCCTTTTCCATGCACGTGTGCATGTTGCACATCAAGTAGCCCATAGGCATGCGAGGGAGCCCCTAGTGCACTCTGTTCATCAATGACAACTTTGTCAGGTACTTACGTTGTAATATGTACGTATACATGTACATTTACGCATGGGTACAGGTACATACTACGTGCGGCAAAACCTGCGCAGGTATACAGAGTATAATGTCTTTTTTGACATTGCAGATGCGTCATGCTTTGTCAGCAAGGCCACATAACTACTCGAAGCGAGAGCACTCTTTGTGGCGAGTACTGTTGAGAATCGGCCCTCATGTTCCTTTGCGTCGCCGTACTGCATCCTCATTGTAGAGATGAATAATAGTAATCACGACAAAAACAAAGCCATCAATACAAGGATCGCTGTATACATGCGGCGCACGATAAGTTAGGTGGGCGTTTTCAACAGCAGGGATGTGCCAACTCACCGATCATGGAGATATTGTGTGGTGAGATTAGTGCGTAATCGTGTCACCTCACATTACATGAGTCCCTGTAGAGTACGATAGAGATGCGAGCGCATCAAACGCCTACGATCCGGATAGTCGGCATCTTTTCTTGGGTGCTGCCGCATCACGTGTCGTGGGGCGGTGGCACAAGAAAAGTAAATCTGTGAACTAGAGCAGGCGGAACGGCTGAGGCGCTGGTTACACGGTGTGAGAAGGAAGAAAAATGGTGTCAAAAATGTCGCCCAGCCATGTGGTCGGAGGGTGTTACCGCACATGGCCGTTCCGAGAGGTCCCACAGGAACGCTGGCCGAGAGATAAGACTGCTAATGCGCGCGCAAAACATGGGTCTTTTTAGTAAGGGACCTGTGTTACGAGGTGTACGGCGCGAAGGATGGAAGAAAAAGCAAATACTGAAGGATCTAGGTGGCAGCGATTGGGTGTGGGTGAGAGAAGGCGGAGAAGCGTACCGCCTCCACTGATAGGCGAGCCTGCGTGAACGGTGTGTGAGGGTCTTTGAGATCTGAGGAAAAGCATTCACATACGTGGAGAAAAAGAAATCGGCAGGATGCGCAACGCAAAATCAGTGAAGAGGAATGCAATAGTTAGTAGGTGTAGATCTGACACAAACAAATACCATCAACTCGAACACTTTTCTGTCGAATCAGACAACTAACTAGAGCTCTGCCGGCGGCACACCTTGTGCTTCGTCTTGCTCATGCGTAGATCTAGACCCCACATCTCGCAGCACCCGTACACACTAGCCCCCGTCTAGTCTGATCGGTGAAAGAGCTGGAACTGCGGTAGTGTCCAATCCTCAGGGCATGCCCATTGTCGCAATTGGCGCGCTTTCTCCTGATAGGCGGGATATGGAAATCAAGACCCAGAGTAGAGGGAGAGATCCAAAAAGAAAAGAAAAATAGAACAGAACGTTAGGGTTACCTTAAACGGTAACAGACAGATCATCCACCCAGGCTTTGTAAGACTATGGAACAATTGATTGATTCTCTGGCAAAACGGACAGAGAGATGAAAATGACTAGAAATGCATATGAATTATGTCAGCGCTAGCCACCCAAATGATGATGAAGTTGTTGTCCTTGCTACGTGCGCATACGTCTGGTTGCATGTACAGTCATGGCCGTCGATTGTGGGGAATATCGAGAGAAAAAAGAATTCAAAAAATAAAATTAACAGAAAGCAATGCGCCAGGGCCAAGATATGCAGGTCATTATGCACGATCCCAGATCTGTGTCGGACCAGATCGTCCGTGACGGATGGCGACAAGATCCGAAAACAGAGGGTGTGCACGCATGCGTCGGCGCATGCGGGTGTCGCTCCATACGGCAGGATATAGATACGGGATCAGGTTTGGGAACCTGCCACCATATGTTACTTTTTTTCTTTGTTGCTCTACGCCTGACATCACTCCAGACCCTGTTGCCGCTGAACATTCCTGAGAATTTCGAGGTCCATGCGCAGGATGGGTGAGTTTGGCGCAACGTCTTCAATGACGTTAATGGTGCGCTTGAATAGGGCGGAGAGTGTGGATTTGGTGAGCCAGGTATCGCTTGGAAGAAGAGGATAGAGTTTGGACTTGTACACTGAGGCGAGGACAAGCATGTTTCCGAATTGTCTATGCTGCGTTAGTGGGGCTATGGAGAAGATCAGGAAAGCCATAGACTTACGCGTGAAGTGTACCAAATATGTTTGTGACTACGAGCCTCTTCTTGCGCGTTGGGGTGAAATACTGGTATTTGCTACCAGGCTCTTCACCTACGCGATCGAATGCGATCGTGCTGTGGATCGCGCTGTTGATGCATTGGCAAGCAACCTTGATAATCTTCTGCTGGTCCTCGCTCAGTTCGACCATCTGCACGTTCCTGTTTGTAAGGGGCTGGCCGTATGGGGATGGCGAGTTGTGCTGAGAGGCGCCCGTGCTCCCTGGAGGTGGAGGCGGGAACTCCAAAACATGACTCGCGAGCTTGAGATACGGTCGCAACATCATGTAGAGGCCACCATAGTACTTGGCGCGAACACGGGCAATGTTGAGATCGGTCGAGGGGTACTCGCTGTCGTCCCAGGCAAGCTCGGGCGAAAGTAGTTTCCTCCAGTTTTCCAAGACACCCACGTGTGTGAGCGCGTGATAAGCGACTTCCTTGACACTAGTGGGGTCGAAGCTCATTCGTCCGCTGGGTCCGTACAAGGCGTTGTGTGCCACATTCAGGATCACTCGCAGGAATGTCTGCGTAGAGTAGAGCTTCATCATCAGGTCGTTCCGCGGGCCTGAAGTGATGTCCTCTGGTTGCGCGGAGCTGCTGTCCTCTTGGATCCAGGTCTCGTTGACACCTTCAGGGTACATAATGTCACTCTGGTGGGCAGAGATACCGGAGGGTGGCAGGTTGCTCATCTCTGCCAGAATATCACTAAAGAATAATCTGTTAGCGGACGTTGGGATCTCGATTTTGACAGTAGAAGCAACTTACGATTCGAGCTGTAGTGCTGTCCAGTAAACACACATGACCAGGTTCAATCGATATCGTTCCTTGGGACTCCAGAATTGTCTTTTCTCGTTGTTCACACGAAGGAGCTTGGTGTAGTCGGCTTTGATCAGTACCAGAGCGATCCGGCATGCGTTGTTGATCCAACTCCAGCTCTCTAATACTCGTGCGAACTGACTAAGATAGAGCGCGGCCAAAAGCATGGCTTGCGCGTGGGCGGTTGTGTTTCCACCCTGCTGATTTCCGAGGATGTCAGTAGCATAAGCGTAGTAGGCCATGCCAGGGAGAATGTCAATGTTTCGCGGACGGCTATCTTCAGATGCTTCACTGGCAAAACTGCCGTTGGCATTTGGAGAGTTGCGGATGTAGCCATACTCCGAGTGAATGTAAGGATTCCGGTCGTTTTGCGGTGCAGGCAACGGATCTGTGTATGAGCAGACTTTGCCTAGAGCAAGAACAAGTAGAACAATGGCGTTGCGCAATGAGCGTTCAATCTCGCCTCGAGCCGATGGCAACCCATCCAATCCGCTAGCTGAGCGCTTTCGCTTGACGCCGGGATTGAGCTGGTGCACACCGTTCACAGCAGGTGATCTAACGCCTGCGCCTCGCGATTCGGGACTATACTGATCGCTAAACTCTCTGAACATGCGCTTGAGTTTGACCTCGTTCATGAACGGATGGAACATGTGCATGCTGTCCATGTACGACTTAAGCAGATCAAACATGACATGACGACGGAAGTCTGGGCGACCGTCTGGGCCAAGGCCACTCTGGTAACTTTCGCGCGGCGTGCTGCTGGGCTCAGAGGGGCTTTGGTGGTCGTAAGGCGGATGGCCCCACAAGCCATCTTTGCCAGGCGCTGGAGACGCGGCTTCGGAATCGTTGCTGCTCTCGGGGCTACCAGGGCCTTGGGCGCCGTCGTTTAGGTCTTGGCCCTCGCCAACACCCCAAACACGCAGCAAACCACGGTCCTGCTCCAACTGCATCGGGTAGTCTGACACTTCGCGGCCATTATCGATTAGTCGTTTCAGGTATGGAATACCTTGATAAAAGATGTTCATTTGGGTCCACTCTTCGAGCAGTTTATGTGCAGGGGTAGTGTGGTCTCCTTGGAGGCCGGTCTGTTCTTTAGGGCCGGTCTCGGTAGCGTGGCTACGTTCGGTCCTCACACTTTCGGCAGGTGTTGCGGGTTGCTGCGGAGGAGGAGCAAACTGCGACTCCTGCTTGATAGGAGCGGAGGCATGGGTGCCCAGAGGCGACAACGTGCTCGAATGGGGGACAACTGGTGATTCCATCTTGAGGTTGCTGTGTACACGAGCCATTTGGCCTCTTCCTCCTTGAGCAGGCGTTGGCCATCTGGACGTGCTCTGATCTCTTTGGGTTGTAGAGAACGAGGCCTCGGGTGAAGCGTGATTGGACATCATGTCGTTTCGCGTCGGTGGAAGTCTGCTCTCGACACCCTGTTTCCACGTGTTGAACTGATCGACGAACTGTGACAGAACGTCTGATATGTTGTTGACGCTCTCTTGAAGCTGCATCATGCTTCTATCTTGCCTGGGAAGCGTCAGCGGGGGGTGACCAAATGTAGAGTGGAGGCGACGCACTTTGGTGGTGGGACATCTTTGTATTGGCAGTCAAAGTTGTTCTCTCTGCAGAACTGGCACGGCCGGGCTTCGTCACACTTCTGCTTTCGCGAACGACAGTGGTTGCAAGCCTGCGTGGCTCGGACCTGCTTCCTTCGTATTTGCTGTGCCGCGCCATAGTCGTTCATGTAAGGCGTGGGCGCGTAGGGAGTCACTGGCTGGGGATATTGCTGAGCAGGCGGTGGTGGTGGCTGGGTGTGGTATGGCGGGGGTCCGTTGGGGTGAGAAGGACTCATGGCATGACTATAGCCATTCGCCATGTTGCCATTTGGCCGGTGCTCGGGGTTCATGGGGGGCCACGACGGGTGATGGCCACCATGCTCCATGGGTGGTTGAGGCTGAGGTTGAGACTGGGGCTGGGGCTTGACGTCGGTACTGATACTGAGGCTGGTGGAGCGGGAGCTGTGAGGGTCTGGGGCCGATGCTGACTGAGGCGTCGGTGGAGGACGGTAGGTTGAAATGCGGTCCTGGGGGATTGTCACAGTAGCGACTCCTGTGACGCCATTGGGATGCTGCCGGGGAGAGGGTATGTTGCGCGGATCCGCAAGGGCGCGAATGTCAGAGGGTGGCAACGATGGCGAGGGTAGCGGGCCTGGGTAGGCTTGGGGGTGAGCGGTGTACTGGTGAGAGGGAGTGGATAGACCGTGGGCAGTGTAGGGCGGAGAAGCCTGGGCCAAGGTGGGATGTGTCGGAGGGCGGGTGGGTTGGGTATGAGGCGGTGGAGGAGGGGGAGGGAATCCGTGGCCGTTGTAGTCAAGATTGCTGGAGCCCAAACGAGCTCTCTTGTTGTAGGCGGGCGCGTCAGGATCAGCCATCCTTACATATGCCAGACAGAATCCGCTATGGCCATGCGGCTATGTATGACAGAGCACTACTGGGCACAACGGATGGTTCCAGGACCACCAAACGGCAAAAGCCAGGAAGGAAGGTCGCGGGGGGTGCAGCTGGTGGAGAGCGGCCTCGGCAGTCGCAGGGGCGGAAGGGGACCAATTCACCAAAAAGGCAGCAAGTTGGTTGGTCAGTAGTGATTTGCAGATGACAGCCCAACCCGCGTCATCGCATGGAAGAGGGGAAGAGTTTGGAAAGCGTCGCAGGGCAAGTGCTCGGAGGCCAGAGTGGGATGCAGGACGGGAGCTTTCCTATGCCGCGTGCGCAAAGAAAGGACCTAGTCTTGGGCAGGTCGACCTTACCATGGAGCCGGAGACAACTATCCGAAGCAGGTAAAGGCGAGATGAATGAGTCGCGCGCGGTCAATGCTAGGACGTTTGTCGCTCAGTCGGCGAAAAGTGGCGCTTTTAAGACGGGCCGTGCGAACGAAGGGGCCAGGGCGCAATCAGAAAAGGCGCGAAACCACATCAGTCGCAAAAAGGAACAGCTCCAGGGCGCGATGCGACAGGGCGCGGGAGGCGGCCCAGCACTGGCTCAGGCACACGCGCGCCGAGGGGGGTCGGGTGGTGATGGAGGTGGAGGTGACAGTGGAGGTGACGGGAATAATATTAGGGCTGGTAAGGGTGGTGTTTGATGGTGGTAGTGGTGGTAGTGATAATGATGACAAGGGGGTGGAGGAGGAGTGGGGGACGAGGCCAGAGGCAGAGAGCAGCAGTCAATGACACCAAGGCCCAGCGCATATAGGACGGCGACGGCGATGGCGACGGCGACCACGACGACCACAAAAGACGGCGACGGCGGCGGCGGCGGCGGCCGTGAGCAAAGGCAGGTGAAGAGACGGCCGATTAGCGCAAGGCAAATGGGCGAGCAGCGTGCAGCGTGCACCAAAGGACGGTCAGAGACATCAGAGAGCTTCTGCAGCTTCGCTTGTGCACGCCCAGCCCACGCAGGGTTGGGTGGGGGGTCCACCAGACGCGCAGTGTGGGTGCGTGTGTACACACACATACATATGTAGAGGGGTGTGTGAGTGTATAGTAGCATGTGTGTGTGTGGGTGTGGGTGGGTGTGTCTGTATGCAGCCAAACCACGCATGGCCGGATGCTCCAGGGCGGCCGGGCAGGACCCAGTCAGTCCAAGTAACAGTGGTAGCAGTCGCAGCAGTAGTCGCACTCTTCGTCAAGCAATGGCGCTCTGCCCGTCGCCCGTCGCCCCTCCAGGGCATTACCGCAACCGCTGCAGACAGCAAACGTCGCTCCCGTCCATGGTAACCGCGCAGCCATGTCTATTCCACATCCATGTGCAATCTGCATCTGCCTCGTCCGCCAGAAACTGGCCTGTCCGCCCCGGCCCTTGTGGCTGGCCGTCGCTGGGCACTTTGTTTCGTGCGGCTTGCGCGCTTCTCTGCTCACCAACACCAGCCCTCTCCGCAGCGATCCTGGTGCAGCTTGAGGCAAGCCTGTCATGAGGGCCTTGAGTCGGACAATTTCCGCCCAATTGCTGGCCTCAAAGACTCAGGAAGCTGATCCGAGCTTGTCGATGCACTAGTCAACATGCCCAGTCCTCCCAGCCTCCACTCTACTACGGCACCAAGGCATTCGAGAAGGCTCGTGGAAGTGATGCGCTGCAGGTGGCGTCCAGACAGCTCGTATGCCCTATCTTTTTGGCCTGCAAAGGATGGCTATGCGGTCCATTGCCACCAACCTCGTGCTCGCACTCGCTCCCGCCCGTCTCAAACCCTAGGTCCCCCAATCTCCGTCAAAAGGGACATGGAAATCTGCAACTATCATGGCTGCTACCATCATGGCTGCTACCACTAACCACTGCTGCTGCTGCTGCCCAAAGATCTGCACTCGCACGCTGCGGATCCTGGCGAAACTCCTATAGGCAGCCTGGTGGCACATGGCCAGATGGTGCGTATACTCCCTGCAATACCCATTTGCCCGCGTCGTACGGTTGCGGTGGGAAAACGCCGCTCTCGGCCTGGTACGTATGTAGTAGTGGTAGCATCACCACATTAGTTTCACCATGACAAAACACTCTCGGGAAAATCCTGGATGTTATTTAGCGCGCCGTAAGGTGCGACCGCCAGAATGGCGTCAGGAACAGTAGGCTCCCAGCAGACATGGGAGAAGGCAGGCCAGGATCACCACGGCGTTGTCGACCTGCCCCTCCATCACAACGTTGGTTCCGCTCCGCGCTGCAGTGCCGCCGCCCAGCCATCCTTGCACGACGGGAAGTCTGCTAATGCCCTCTGCCAACAAACAGACAGACAGACAGACAGACACTCTTCTCGACCGTGCCTCGGCATGGTCAGCTGCCAGGAAGGCATTAATCCCAAACAGCAGTGGCCGCTGCTGCTAAGCCCGTCGCAGCAGTGGCCATTGAAGCCATTTTGTCAGATGACCAGCCGACTCTGCCCGGTCCTGTCCGCCGACGCTACGCCAAGTTGCGGTCTGCCTCAACCTCGATGGATGGTTGCTGCTGCTGCCAAAGCCATGTCCGATAGACGACTCCTCTCCCCCACAGCCCGAGCCGTGTGAGCAAGGTCGGCCTGCAACCCTCGTGGGAACCCTGGCTTCGTCATCCTGGTGGCCGTAGCTTCTCCACGTGGAAGGAAGGAGGCGTCCAGTAATCCCTTGGGGAGTTCCTCACACGCCCTCTTGACGAGTCAAAGTCGGCCGATAAGTCGCCATCGAGTCGGTGTAGTAGTCGCGTTGCTTGCTTGACCGGATCAGGGCTGCTCCTACACAAAGTTTTGCGCCCTAGAGAAGGGCAGGCCGTGTCAGTGGTCATGATTCGTGCCTAGCCTTACGTGCCGCCTGCGATGACATGCCCCGGTCTGCGGTTGAAGTTGGAGGTCACAGCAAAGCGGCACAACAGTCGCATTGCAGTTCCAAAGCTTATTGGAACATGGAAAGTTTGTGCGCCGAGTCCAACGAAACAGCCAGAGCCCGGTTTGTAACGTCGAAGCTGTCAGCGTGTAGGTACGTACATATCTAGCATATAGTATATAGTAGTATGTCAGTACGTAAACATCAAGTTTCTGTCCCACTACTGTTCACCAAGCGGCGTGCGCATTCCTTGCCTCCACGGAGCGTTGTGCCAGGGGTGTCGTACGAGACGCAAACTCTGCATGCAAGCGAAGTAGCCTCACATTTGATGAAAGCACCCGGTGATTCAAATGCATCAGAATTCCCATCGTCTCTGAGGCGGCCGAGTGAGTAATACTATATCAGTGTATTGTTATACAACAGGCGGCGGCTAATACCCTGAGCTCCTGCCAAGACTCGTACCTGGATGAAGACTGCTCGTTACACAAAGACCCTTCGTGCAGCAGCGCCACATGTATAATTATTTTGGTCTGCATAGCAACCAGAGCTGAGAGCATGAACCCATCTGGCTTAGGTCAGCACTTTACTGGAAGGTGTACACTGTGATTGTTTTTTGCTGGCCCCTGAAAGGTTGTTTGGGCGCTGAAACGCCAGTGGCCGATCGGTAGCGCCAACATGACGACGTCACGTCTTACTCTCATGAGGTGGACAGCATCACAAACAGCAAACATCTCGTGTACCATCGTCTAGTTACCTTCTCTAGCATAGCATAGCCTCTGCTCTACATCCTCGCTCACCATGGTCTCTGCCACCTGGGTCTTTAGCGCCATCGTAGCCTACACCATCTACAAAGCTGTTTGGAGATATCAGCGCCATCAGCGCAATATCGCACTCGCCAAAAGCTCAGGGCTACCTGTGGTTTCGGTTCCTTGGAATATCTACAATCGTTTCTGGCTAGCCACGTTCAAGTTCTGGACACCGCTGCTGCAGAAAATTCTCCCCAGCTCCCTAACGGGCCTGTGGTTAGAGTACGTATAGACAATGGCGCCAATCGTCACATGTTAACCATTGCCTTGCAGAATCCTACAGGCAGAATGGTCCCATGTCACTGGACACAGATATTTCAAGGAGATCGGCAAGGACATATTCGTTGCCGCCGCCCCCTCTGGACTCACCGTCTATGTCGCTAATGCAGAAGCCATCACCCAAATCACTACCCGTCGTAATGACTTTCCCAAGCCTCTCGAGATTTACCAATCCCTCAACATATATGGGAAGAATCTTTTGACTACCGAAGGAGCTGAATGGCGCAACCATCGCAAGCTTGTAGCACCGAGTTTCGGTGAGCGCAACAATGAGCTTGTTTGGAACGAAACACTCCATCATGCAAAATCACTGCTTAGTTTCTGGGCTGGACCCGAGGGAAGAGGTAACAAGACCATAGTTGATCCTTCTGTGGCTGCCATGAACTTTGCTTTATACATCATTAGTAGCGCAGGCTTCGATGTACGGGTTACCTGGCCGCACGAAGAAGGTAGGGAGGAAACAGTCAGCAAGAATACAGAGCAGTCCATCTCTTTCAGCTCCAAGGCGCCTCCCGGCCATACTATGAGCTATCGAGAAGCACTCAGTGAGCTGCTTCATAATATCATATGGACCCAGATAATACCTATCCCATGGCTTGGTAAGATATATTAGTACCACTCGTAATCGAAACAATGACACTAATGCATTCTGTTAGAAAAATCTCCGTTTACGGCGCATCGTACAGTCGCCGAGGCAGTTGCCGAGTGGAGCGCTTATATGAACGAATTGTATGAGATCAAAAAGACTCAGTTTCTTTCCGGTGAAGGCAAGAGGGGGATGGATGTTTTCGAATCGTTAATTCGCGGTAGTGGTATCACAGGGGAAAATGCTACAACTGCCGATAAGAGCGATATACTCGGCAACGCTTTTGTGATTATGCTGGCGGGTCACGAAACAACAGCAAACACGCTACACTATTCGCTAATTTATCTTGCAATCTACTGGGCATCCCAGAAAAGGTTACAAAAAGATATTGACCGGATATTTAATGGTAAACCGACAAGTGAATGGACATACGAGGAGCATTTTCCCAAGCTTTTCGCGAGCATGCCAGCTGCAGTCATGAACGAGACGCTCCGGCTGTTGCAACCAATTGTCAACATTCCAAAATCAGTCACGCCAGACCAATCCCAGACTATTCAGGTGGAAGGCCAGACATATACTATCCCTGCAGGTGCGAACGTTTTCCTTTGCTCGGCTGTCCATCGCAATCCGAAGTATTGGCCCGCACCCGAAAATGACACAAACGATGATGGTATGTCGGACCCGGATCGTTTCCGACCTGAGCGCTGGTTTACAAAGAACAACCTTTCGGAATCTTTTGTCGAAGTTGACTACGACGACGAGGCACTACGTGGACCAGCCGGCGAAGACACGTCATCGGAGCTCTTCAAACCTGTCAGAGGATCCTACATCCCATTCAGTGATGGTGGCCGATCCTGCATAGGGCGACGCTTTGCGCAAGCTGAGGTTCTCGCGGTGCTAGCTGCTATATTTGCGCAGTACAGTGTTGAGCTCGCCGTCGATGACTTTGCTTCTGACGAAGAGGTGGACAAGATGCCAAAGGGGGGCCAAGAGCGGCGAGAGTTGTATAAGAAAGCTGTAGACAGAGCCCAGCATGCGCTTCGACACAAAGTTGCATCCATTATTACATTACAGCTGCGGGGCACTTCTATACCTATCAGGTTGATGAAGAGGGGAGAAGAAAGGTTCGCTTTTGATTAGCTTAGGCATGACAAGGGGATACGCACATGAACATATATGCAATGATTCATCCACCGAAATATGAGAGGTAGATGAAGTACAAAGTATTCCATCAATCTATACATTGTTGTTGCTCAGAACAGAAGCTACTACCCCGCATCACGTCACTTTGGAGAAGCTACCCCACTGACTCGCAACGTCAACATCGGCCATAGCGACCTTAGTCTGGAACAATATTGTAAACAAATAACAAAAAATACCGATTTCTCCGTAGTAGCTGAGACTAACTCAATACATCCCCAAAACATCGCGGAGTACCGTGGCATCGTTTTCAAGCTGCACAATGCCACCCCCAAGCTTCCCGCCCGAAGAGCTCCGGCTGATAGTTCAAGAGGTGGCTACTCTCCTCAAAGAGCGCAAAGAAACAATCTCAGTTGCAGAAACAGTCGGTGTACCCTTTCCATCTGCCAATAGATACGTGATGCACACCTAAAGCTAACTAGACACCACCTCACAGGCAGCAGGCGGCCTCATCTCTGCAGCTCTTCTGTCTTTCCCCGGCGCATCATCCTACTACCGTGGCGGACTAACCCTTTACACTCTCGAATCGCGCATTGCGTTTGCCGGTTGGACCCAAGAATCAGTCTCTGGCTACAGCGGCCCTACACCAGCCGTTGTCTCAGGTCTAGCCGAGCACACGCGCAGCAAGTTGGGCAGCACGTATGCTGTCAGCGAGAGTGGGACTGCAGGGCCCACGGGCGGCAGTACCAGGAACCGCACGCCGGGATATGTGGCTCTTGCAGTGGCACGCGAGGGTGGGGACACGGCGACGAGAGAGGCAGAGACCAAGAGCTCAGGGAGGGAAGGCAACATGGTGGCTTTTGCGGTTGAGGCGCTCAAGCTGGTTAGGGATGTTATCAAAGCTGACGGCGGCAAGCTGTAATGGTCAACAATGGGAAATGGACTAGACCAAGTGAGTAATTCGTGCGAGGGCACATTGTGTGTACCGAGGACATGGTTGAACGGTGTACATCTGGATTAGCCAACGTTCTCGATAGGGAAAACACCGTGTGAAACTGACCCTCACACTCGGATGTGGCTCGTTTCGGTCTCGCACATACAATCCTTTACTGAAGGTGGTGTGCTGTAGCGACATTACCCGATTGATCAGTATCAGATTATTAATCGCCCACGTCCTCGCTTGCTCATACGCGTTTTATATCCGTGGGGTTGTGGTGTGTGATGCCGAAATTTTCCTTTGGGGTTCCCACGCTTCCCCTTTCTGTTCACGCCGCCTAAACGCAACAGGATCCATCCGACCCAGCCCGTCGGTGTCACACCGCCACCACCACCACTTAGTACTGAGTACCGTTCTTTGAAGCGAGAAAACACGCCAGCCGCAATCACATACGTACGTACCGATGTATGTACCGTGTTCTGCTTCCTTCCGCAGCCATGTGTTCCCGTGCATTTGGCTAGCCCGGTTAAGCGGCCCAGATCCTGCTATGCACTGTCCACGATAATGTGGCGTACAATCGTACAATGGGGCACAGCGTATTCCCTCTTTCCCCTTTGCCTTCTTCCTTTCTTCCACTATACAAGCGCTGCCAAGATTAGGGGGGTTCAGCCATCCCTTACATACTACTGACGTTGAGAATCCGCTGCCGAAACATACACATCGGTGCATGCACAAGCTAGTGATATGTCCACCTTGCATACACGCACGCGACAAGGAGGATTTTCTCTTTTCGCTCTTCCCCCACGTCTTTTCATGCTCCAGTTCCCGAGGGAAGGGGAGGGAGGATACATGTCCCGGAAGTTTTTTGCGCCACGTGTGATTGTCTGCAGCCCTATGTCGAACTCCTGTTGCTGCAGGATCTGAAGGATTCTTTTGGGGGTTTCACCACCCAAATGGCACCCCGTATATTAGTGGCCCCGGCTAAGATTTACCCGACAAAGGATTCGTGATAAGTGGATTCGGGGCTGTTGACTGTTTTATTGGGATTTCGTGTTGTGAGGCAGCGGGTTAGCGATGGAGGGTCGCGTGGTGAATGCATAAGAGCTCTGGGATTATCTGGGGAAAACGTCGGTGTATGTGGAGTTGCATCTTCTCGGTCAGGACCCCAGACTACGGGAATAAGTGACAAATGAGTCACCTGTCTGCTAGCAATCTCGTGGCTTAGGGACAAGGGTATCCCTTCTTCAACATAGAAAAGCCCTTCAAGTAATATCACAATCGGTAGAATGACAAATATGGAATTTGCCATTAGGGATAGGTAGATGCATTTTAACAAAGAAGAGTCATGACACAAGAAACTATTCAGATCTTAGTATGGAAATAAGCAAAAACCATTGAAACTTTACTTTGGAAATATTCTATCCCATCTTGTTCTCGTCAACCTTAGACCGAATGCATTGGATAAAATTAACACAGTGTTCTTATCATTATGTCATTTTACATCTCACATCTACCCAGTGTCAGACTCACTACTCAGAAAGTAGAAAGTCCATGTACCTACTAAATTGTTGTCATGTCTAAAGATCCACAGTATACAATGGTTCAGGATGGGCTACGAGTAATTTCTTTCAGTATTACTTACGACACAATCCCACACTACCCATTTTACTGTTTGTAGAAACTAGCCATTCAATACAAGAGAGAGATGGCGCAAGGAATAGACATCATAATGACATTCCAAACCCTACCAGCCTGTCTTCCAACCATTTACTTCTTCCTTCAAAACGCACAGCGATCAAGGCCATGAGAGCTAGAACTGTATTTGAACAAAATGCTTGATACGCAAAGAAAAGTGTAACACCAAGACAAACAAGCCCCTTAGAACGAAGATACGTAGTTTGTTACTTATGTAATCTCACCACACACACACACACACACACACACACGAAGCAAAACAAGAACACCTTACACATAGTACTACTGCATAATCTTGCCATCTATGCCAAGAAAATCCAAGAGCTAAGAAAACCCATCTATAAATTTCCCTTTTCCTATGCTCATTGATCTCACAGAAGACTGACTCCCCAACTCCACACACCATCTTCATTCCACTAACGGGTATTCGCGCGTCAATTCATACAAAACTCTCTCCTTTCACACCTACAGCTCATCATGCGCATCAGGCTCTGGCATCTTAATCGGCTCCTGCGGCCTACCAAGCTCAGCATCAATGCTAACACCACTCTTCTTCCTGTACTTCTCCCAGACGCTCCAAAAGTCCTTTTCCATGCCCTTGTCCATCTGGTCGGGCAGGACGACTACGTACTCGACGTGCAGGTCACCATATTGCAGACCCTCGTTGTTTTCCAGCTGTTGGTGCCAGATTGGCATACCTTCTTCCTTGATGATTTCAACCAGGTTGGGCTGGACAACTTCACCACGTTTGCGCGAGAGCTGGACAATATGGCCATCAAGATGCGTAACGTTGCGGGTCCAGTCACCCATCCATGCTTCTCGGAGAGACAGAACCTCGCGCCAGAAGAGGTCCTTACCCCGTCTTCTGAAGAAAGTACCATCCGTGCGCTCGTGCTCTTGTTGTCCGAATGCAGGATCGGCTTCGGCGAGGTGGACGATAAGGTCTCCAGCGACGTAGTCCGGGCTCTCGTCTGCTTCATTCTCATAGGTGATGCGTACGCCATTGGGCATGCCCTTCTCAATCTCGAGTTGGTGCGTCTCGGATTCACGGATAACTCTACTACCGCTGCAGACCGGACATGGGTGCTTGATTGTCTTGCCTTTGCCGTGACATTGGTCGCAATGTACCTGGACTTGCTGGAAGAGTCCCGGTGCAAGTTGTTGTCGTTGTATGCGAACACCTCGTCCACCACATGTGCCACAGGTCTCTACGTGTCCATCTTCTGAACCTGATCCCTCACAGGCCGAGCAGATTGCTTGCTTCTCGATCGTGAACTCCGTCTTACGGCCATTGTAAAAGTCACGTAGAGGAATGGATACCTTGACCTCCATGTTCGGCCCTCGTCGCTCCCCGCCATGGTGTCCAAAATGTCCGGAACCACCAAAGAAGCGCGAGAAGAGGTCAAAGGGATCGTGATGCTGGCGAGGTCCACCACCTTGTTTGTGCTGTTGAATGCCCTCATGACCGTATTGGTCATATATCTTGCGTGTTTCTTTCTCGATGAGGACTTCGTAGGCTTCGGCAATCTCAACGAATTTCTGGTTTGCTTCTTCGTTGCCACTGTGACATGTTAGCAGGCTGCTGGTGGACTGGTGGAATACTGAGCGTACGGGTTCTTATCAGGGTGATATTTCTTACTCAGATTTCGGTATGCTTTCTTGATCTGGCGCTCTGAGGCATCCTTCTCAAGACCCAGTAGCTGCGCAACTTGGTTAGCCAATGCACCTGGAATTGCGATAAAGGTAAGAGTATGAAACGCATAATGTAGACTTTGCATACCTTGTAATAGTCTTCTGCGCCAACGACTAGCAGCGCCAGAAACGCGACCACAAAAAACAGCGCTATCCGTAGAAGCATGGTGCAGTATGAAGTGCGCCAGCGGCGACTTTGAACTTGGGAAAGTGAGTGGACGGAATGTGCGTATCCGATATGAATATGAGAACAATTGTCTACATGAAATTCACAAACGTCTAGCGAGGTCAGGCGACCTCGAAACTAAAGGGAAGAGAGGGGGAAAGCCAAGTTGATATGAGGAGCTGCGAGTGAAGGGTAAAGTAGTAGGGTTCGGGACACGATAGCAGTAACGTAGATTATGCAACCAATCGGAGTTAAGCCTTGGCATCACCGACATGACTTTTTGTGCGCGGTAGAAGAGCTGGCGCGAACTCGTTGATCGAGGCTGCAGCAGTTCCCCACGTCCCCCGACCCGCCGTCAGATACCCCCAAACGACGCATTGAGTTGCTGTCTTGACCTGTCCGGACTCGGCCTCAATATACAAAGGCCCTTGTAGCGCTAGCGCACCTCCGCGAGACCTCCGCATCCACCGCACACGACCCGGACCACCACCACCACATAGCCGCCCGTCATGGCGTCAATAGCGAACAAAGTCAAGGCTGGCAAGCCAATTGTGCAAGATTATTTTGCGAGTCACAAGATTGGCGTAGTGGTCTCGGCAGGGAAGATGTCAAAGGCAGTAAAAGTGCGAGTCGCTGAACAAGAATGGAACAAGAAGTTTAGAAAAGTAAGAATTAGCAATTGAAACACACACAAATCTTTCCAATGCTAATTAATACTTGCAGCATTTTCCTGCGCCCAAAAACTACCTTGTCCGCGATCCCAACAACTCCCTTGTCGAAGGCGACGTCGTCCGCATAGCATCAGGTCATCGCACCTCCACAGCCATCCACCATGTCGTAACCTCGATTGTTGCGCCCTTTGGCGAGCCCGTCGAGAACCGCCCACCAGTCCTCACCGAAGCCCAATTAGACGAGCAGCGCATCAAGGACCGGTTATTGAAGGATGTGAGGAGCGCCGCGCGGGGAAGGCAGATCAGTGTGCAGAGATTGGCACAGGCAAGGAAGCAAGGATATCGGATACCGACGCTGGAAGAAGCCATGGAGCGCATGAAGGTGCATACAGCGAATGAAAAGGCGAGGCTAGAAGCGCATGGTGGACAGGCTGGACAGCAAAAGACGGCAAAGGAGAGGAGAGTCGAGGCGGGGAAGAAGACCAAGGAAGAGGTCAAGGCCGAAAACAAAGTAAAAGATGCCAAGAAGCAGACTGTATAGTGACATACGCAAGAGATGGACATGTAAAATTATTGTGCCCCCAAAAGGCCGCCGCTGGAAAATATGGTATTACACGCAACGTTTGAGTCGTCACGTTCTTCATGATACCAGGTTTCTTACCCACCACAACGCCAAATTCAATTCCAACCCAATGCCCAGGGTATCAATATCGTTTCCATACAATCATAACCAATCCCAACAATGGAACAAACAACAAAACCTTCTACGCAGCCGTCTGTACAACCTTGAAGCCCTCCGACACCAGTTTCTGAATCTCTTCATCCTTGTGCTGTAGCTGAGCCAGCGCGTATGCGATGTCATTCCACTGCCTCTCATTCTCGGCCCTTGGAAGCCTCGAAGCAAGTTTGGCAGACAATTGCTTGGCGTGTTTGTCCTACACAGTGTTAGTATCGATGCTGCAAGATTGTGTAGTCTATTGTAAATCCATACCTTCTCAATAAATCCAGCCAAGAACTTGATGATCCGCTTCAATGCCTCTTCGCTAAGGCCTGTGTCTGCACTAAGCACACTGAACATATCAATGAATTGATTGTAGACTGCATTGTCCTTGGTCGACAACTCAGTGAAGAACATGCGTGCCATGTCGGCAATCTTCTTGTCACTGTCTTCGAGACACTTGGCCATCTCGCCTAGTTGGCCCTTGACTTTGACCTGACCTGCCAAGATCAAGAAAGTGAGCGTCATCAGACAAGTGCGCTTGACACTAGGGTCGCCATCGTTCAAGCGGCGGTAGAGGAAGTCGGTGTTTTCGTCAATGAGGTGGTTGAAGCACACTGCCATGTCACCAAGTGCTACGACAAGATTGCTGCGGACGACTGCATCTTGACTCCTTTCGAGGATAGTGAGCAGCAAGCCAAGGTTGGTCTCGCAGTACTCTGAGCTTACACACATCAGCTTTGCCAAGCAGAGTGCCGCCTGAGCTTGCAAAGTCGGATGATTGTACGACGTGTTGTTGGCGCAAATGTCTGCCACCAATGGACCAAAATTTGCCAAAAGAGACTGCGGGCCGTATAGAAGCTCGCGTTCACGGACATGCGCAATAGCTTCGGTGAAATCATCCTCAGTAGTACCAGCCATGAGATCAAGCTCGTCAGCTTCCTCAGGCGCTGGTGTAGGCTCCTTAGTAGCGCCTCGTTTGCGGCCCTTCTTCAAGGGGGTAGGATCGCCCGACGATGCCATCGATTTTCGAGGGGCAGATGCGTTCTTCTTGTCCTTTTCAGCTTTCCGACGCTTGAACTCGAGCTCACAAAGCTCAAGGTGCACAATTTGCTTGATTGCAACGTGGCCGACGACAAAAAGGAGCTGCGAGAGAGCGAGGGCAGAGTTTTGCTTCTTTGGTTGTGGCTCCTCGACTGGAGGTGCATCTGGCATTTCCTCATCCTCCCCTTTCGGCTCAACAGCGCTCGAACTTGATGTAGGGCGCGACTCGGATTTATGCTGACCAGCAAAGACACGCTTAGTAATCTTGCGGATAATTTCTGAGCACAAGACGTCGGGGTGCTTGGATAGAACATATATGGCACTGATAGCCTGCTCTGCTACTCCATACCACTCTTTGCTGTCCGAAGTCATTTCTGTGATTGCAGCCAGCCTCACCAACACTGCGTGATCATTTGGCAGTTTCACAGTTTGAGCTGGAGCGTCACTGGCGGCCTGCTTTCCTGGCGGCTGGCTCATGCGACGAAGAGCTATGCAAGTGTACCGGGCCAGGCCCAGGTCTCGCCTACCAAGCTCTCCTAGACCAATCCTAAGGCAGGTCTCCATTTCCTGCACCACGATGTCGGGTGTGGAAAGCGCCAGCATGCCCAGAACGATGATAGCTCCTCGGCGCTGGTTCTTCGAGATGTCTTTCTTCTGGTAGCCATAAATCTGCCAAAGCTTCTGGATGACTAATCCATTGACTAGGCCCTGCTTCATCATCGTGCTGAGAAGCTGCTCGAGAGACGTCAGTTCTGCCGGCGTTGTACCGAAAGTCAGACTGATCATGTTCTTTGAAACGTAGTTTGCAACCGCATTGTCATCGAATCCGGGTGGTGCGTCAAAGAACAAGCCCTTATAGCATTCAAGCAGATGGGTCTGCACACCCTTGCCTTCGTCACTGTTGCCTTTGGTCCAGATGAGTCGTAGCATCCTCCTGATACCAAGTTTTGCATTGGCAATCTTGTACGCATCGATGGTGGTGAAGAAGTCCATGGCTTCGATGACTTCGCTCTTGTTCTTGGATGACAGTAACTGAGTTACGATCTCAGCAGCATCGTTGATGACTTCAATGAACTTGAGTGCTTCAAGCAGGAACTTGCGTACTGCCTGGAATTTTTCCAGTTCTTGCGCGGTGGCTGCATCTTTCTGAGCTTTTTCAATGGCGGCAGCCTTCTCTTCTTCGCTCATCTCAGATGGGTGCTTCGGCCCTTCCTCATCCCCAACATCAGCCTGTGTTGCATCCTGCAGCAGTGTCTCATCAACCGTCTGATCACTTGGTGGGCGTTCCCTCAACTCTTCTGGAGGCTGTAGAGCATTGATTTGGGCTTCACATTCCTCCAATCGCTTAGTCCAGTCCTTTGTCGACAGCAATCCTCCATCAAACGCTGTGAAGGGATGAGTTGAGATGAGTTTGGCAAGCAGCTTAATCGCATTTCGGCGAACGTTGCTACTTTTGTCTTCAAGACTGCGAGCAGCAAGTTCGGCGACCTTTTGTCTTCGCTTGGGGTACTTCTGCTCCAGATCACAAAGTTTAACGTAAACCTGCATTACCCTAGCACGACAATAGGGGTTAATATCGAGGAAGCGGTCTTCAAGCACATCGAAGAAAATTCGGATCTGTGCCTTGTGGTTTTCGCTGCGGTCATCTTGACTCAGCTTGCTAAGCATAGTTATGAGGTTTCCGCAGACTTCGATGAGAGCACAGCGCAAGGTATACGACTCGCTATCGAGCAGGTTTGCAAGCAGTGTCATTTGCCGGATGACAAGATGTGGTGTAAGTTCAGAAATCTTGGTAAGGAAAGTCGAGATAGACTTTGGACCTTTGAGATCGGTGGAACTGAACTCCTTGCTGCTGATATCTTTCAAGACATCTTCAGTGAGTTGTGGGTAATCAAAAGCATCTGCAAGTGTGAAGAGAAACTCTGCCATGGGCTCTGACAGATGCTCAAAATATGTCAGGCTCTGGTTGATGGAAGTTTGTGCGGCTGTCATGATCGTCAACAGAGGCACTCAGTGGAACCTTAGTGTACTTACTGTACGCGTGTCCGTGCGATTTGACGGCAAAGCACAAAACTCTGAAACAATGATTTCGTATGGCATTGTTCTTGACTCTTGCCTCGTTCTCGAGGATGTGGTACACCGGCTTTGTGAACAAGCCGATGAATGTGTCTCGCTCCGATGTGGTAACGAATATACGGCCCAGCTTGAGTCTAAGTACCTTGCTCATCCGGTCTAATGCCGTCTCTAATTGGGCAGAAGCATCCCAGGCGCTCTCTTTGCCTCCGCCAGTTTTCGTCTTTGTAGTCTTACCCCGCCCCCGCGCTGCTGGGGCAGAGGCAGATTTCTCCAGTGCTCTTGTTTCAACTGCGGAGATGGTCCAACGGAGAAGGAAACCATACATCTCGAGTAAATTCTTGTGGTGAGGTATCGCATCCTGCTCTTCGGCCTCGAGGTCTGTGTGGATTATGTCGGCTTGCGTAGACAGTGCGGAGGATATGAGGTCGAGGATTTTGCTGAGAATTGCGGGAGGAATCTGCGATGAGTGCCTAGAGAGCCGGAACAGTTTACGGTTAGGTTCTGTGTCATACGTTTTTGCGTGCTTTGGATATGCGGGAACGCACTTCAGCAGAAACTGCAGAGTATCAAAGACAGAGCTGCGAGTAATCGCATCTGGGCTCTCTGCCACGGCATCAACCACAGGATTCAGCTCACTGTTGATCAATCCGGGCGACGACAGCGCTTCTGGCTCATCTTCGCAGTCTTGTAGCGCTTGCGGGGCCTCGGGCGTGGGGATCGTCGAAGGGTCGCTGTCGAACAGCTTGACCGCCTCATTGATGTCGAATTCCACGCGCGCATCCATAATGGTCAGAGTCGCTTGCGGAATCAAAAGACAAGAAGGCCAAAACAAAAAGAAGCGACGAAGGGGTCGTCGAGGGTGGGGTTGTTTGCTCAAGTGAAAGGGACAAGTGCGGGCCGTCGTCTCACTTGGCGGGAAAGCGCGTTGCATGTGTTTATTGGCCCGTGCGCCTTGTCATCATGCTTCCCCTTCCGGCCTAGTAGTCATCCAGGTTCAATCGCGGAACGCGTCTCCCAAACGCTGTGCAGACTCGCGCATCATTCTGCACACCATAAGAAGACCACTTACAGACTTACACTCCTCCCATGGCAAAGGCACGCACTTCACTGCGGAATGCAGAGGCCATTGACGTCCACGAAGACTCTATAAAGGCAGAAGAAGCTGAAGAGACTATGGACGAAAGTATGGATCCACTCGACGAGAGTGGGCAAACAGTCGACAGCAGCGACGAGGAAGTCGAGGATTCCGTGCAAGAGGATATGGCACGCTTCGAAGAGACATTTGTCGGTATCAGCAAGCGCTTTCGACTGATCAACCGCATTGGAGAGGGTATGTCCCCCATTATTGGCTTGCAGTCATGCAGGGTACCGGGGGTCGCTCACACTTCATCACAGGAACTTTTTCTACCGTCTACAAGGCTGAAGATCTTGAGTACGAAAAATACAACAACAACTGGGACATTGACGAGCGTGAGAAGAACAAGAGCATGTCCCCTTCCCGCAGGAAGCAGTCCGCCCGCCGCCCCCACTATGTGGCCATCAAGAAGATCTACGTTACCAGCAGTCCGATACGCATCTTCAATGAGCTCGAGCTTCTCTACGATCTGAGAGATTCAGACTCAGTGTGCCCCCTCATCACCGCTTTCCGTCACTTGGACCAGGTGGTGGCCGTACTACCTTACTTTCAGCATCGCGACTTTCGAGATTACTACCGCGATATGAAGATATCCGATATGCGCTTTTACTTCCGGAGTCTGTTCACTGCCCTCGCAGCAGTCCACCAGAAAGGCATTATTCATCGTGATGTCAAGCCCACCAACTTTCTCTACAACACATCGCAATCTCGTGGTGTCCTGGTCGATTTTGGCCTCGCGGAGCGTGAAGGCACAGATTGGCACAACTGTGCCTGCCACTTGAACGAAGAGGATCGCCGCTATAGGATATCCCACAGCGTCTACGCTCAGACACAATCAGCAGGCCACAACGCTTCTGCCTATCCTAAGAACGACACTCGCAATAGCAGACGTGCCAATCGAGCGGGCACTCGTGGCTTTCGTGCCCCTGAAGTGCTTCTGAAATGCACTCAGCAAACCTGTTCTATCGATGTATGGAGTGTGGGAGTCATACTCTTGACTATGCTCTCGCGTCGCTTTCCCTTTTTTCACAGCGCAGACGACATCGATGCGCTGCTCGAGATCACCACTATATTTGGACGAAAGAAGATGCGAGAGACAGCACTCCTACATGGCCAGGTCTTTGAAACGAACGTACCTAGTTATAGCGAAGGCGGTCACAGCCTAGAGAAGATTATCCTTTGGTGCACAGGCCGGACAGGCGACAAGACTCAGCCCAAGAAGGAGCTTGAGGAGGAAGAGAAGGAAGCTGTTCAGTTTCTGTACCGTCTTTTGGAGTGCAACCCTGCAAAGCGAATCACGGCTGCTGAGGCTTTGGAACATCCCTTCCTTGCCAAGGTTGACGAAGAAAGCGAGGCGGAGCAGAAGGAAGCGGCTGATTTTGCCGAAGAACAAGAATTGCCACAGCAGTGACACATTGACGAGAGCACGAGGAAAAGTAGCATCAACGGTGTATGATTGGATGGCAGCATAGTACAGGAGTTTTTTTTTGGCCATTTATGGAATATTGGCTATGAGACGATTCATTAAGATACCCTCCTGTACTGCACAGAATCACGCATAAAGCATTATTCCAATTAATATAGACATGAGGTTATACGCATTTTTTTGTATTTTCTCGATTATTGTTCAAACTCTTTCAAGACGTAATAGTTTGCTTAAACTCGGCGAAGTAGGAAAGATAAACAGACGTCTATTGTTGCTACTACTACATTCTACTCTCTTCTCTTTCTCTAAAAACAAAAGAAATGCCTAATACACAGAAAATCGCTTAGTATCAAAACTAATTTTCTTAAACTTCTAAGCTAGATTAAAGTGAAGAAGCTTTTAAGGTTAGGTGTGAGAGAAGCTTTCTTAGAAGTTTCCTCATAATTACGACGCCGATCTTTATAACTATACTAGAAGGTATATTAACTACATAACATTAAACACAACCACAGTCTACTTTCACTGATGGCACATTTTGGCGTGACAGCATATCACCTGACTGCACCGTGGACCTTCTGAACGTGGACGCCTGATGGTTTGTTACTATGCGATCTGCGCTAAGGAGAGATCCTTTCTTGTTACTTGTAACAGCAACCGGTCTATTTGCCTGCCCATATATAGATAGCTACGTTGCCTAGAGCTCAGTTCTCTATCGAGTACAATATCGTTACCTAGCATTGCCTAAGTATAGCTTTTTGAGCTTAGCCCCTTAGAATATGTTTATATCTACAAGATTATTGTACAAAATTGAATTGCATAACTACGATAATACGTGTGATAAGGTTTATTGCGCCGGCCTTAATACCCATAGTCAGCCCACTTGTCGCCTATGAGCAAGGATAGCATGCTCACTAAAGGATGAATGCCCGAATACGAGTCTGAATCTTCCCCCCGCATGGCATGTTGGCAGCTTGCATAAATTAAGCAAGGCAGATTTCGTAAAGATCTCGAAGTCTCACTCACCGACACAAAAGAATCTCAGCAGAGCGGCGAAGGCGCCTTTCAACCACAAGCCAGCTATTTGTAAGTCTTTGGTACGTAAAAGAAAGCATGGCATCGACTAGTCTCAACCAGATTATGTGGCTTTTTGTCACTGGAATTACATTCTCTTGCGCCTCCCTGGCACAGCGCGGCCATGTCTTGCACGAAGAACGTCGCACTTTGCCCTACGGGTGGCAGAAAGGTGATCGTCTGGAACCGGACATCATTCACCCTGCTCGGATTGCACTTGCACAGAACGAGTTAGAAAGAGGTGAAGAACTCCTAATGGCTATTTCAGACCCAGACTCGCCACTTTACGGTCAGCACTGGACACAAGAAGAAGTTCGTAGCTTCTTTATACCAAGCGACGAATCCGTTATGGCGGTCCAACAGTGGCTCGAAGAGTCTATTCCGGCTGCCGACCTTGCCGCGCACCCTATCACACAGTCGAGAAACAAAGGCTGGATTGAATTTTCAGCAACTGTACAGCAGTTGGAAAACCTGCTGGGGACCGAATTCTACAACTATCACCATGATTCTGGGCGTACTGTAGCATCAACAGAGGCGTACTACGTGCCTGCAAGCGTGGGAGAGCATGTCGATTTTATATGGCCTGGAATTATTCTGTCCCACCAAATGGAAGATGCTGGCAGAAACGCTTTACAAAAGAGAGGCGCGCCAGTCGCGCATCCAATTAAGCAACAGGGTGCCCCAGTAGTACCACTTCCGCTAGAATCGAAACTTGAAAGCAGCACCGTAGCATGCAGCAACAATCACTCCGCATTGGAACCGGCGTGTATTCGAGATCTCTATGGGGTCCCCCAAGGACCTGCGCCGTCCAATCCCAATTATACACACGCCATCTACACCAGTGGAAATGACAAGTACAAGCAAGAGGACCTTGACATCTTTTGGTCGGCTTTTGCCCCTGAAGTACCAAAGGGCACTGTGCCCAAGCAAATTCTTATCGATGGTGCAGCCGACACAAGGTCCATGAATACATCTGGGGGTGAACTCTTTGTAGATCTCGCCTTGACTGTGCCCTTGGTGGCTCCAAACACTATAACGATTATCAGCCCGGATGATCCGGTTGCTCAGGCCGATACCGCCTTGACGGGCGGTGCCAATAGCATGCTGGAAGCTTTTGACGGTAAGAGATGAACGCTTGCTATATTTTCAATAATAATCGAGGGACTACTAAGGAGATTCTTTTTGTAGGGTCGTACTGCACTTATAGTGCTTACAATGTGACTGGAGCTCTACCAGGCTGGGATGCGGAATACCCGAATTCAGCCCAAGGCGGATATAAGGGTGAAAGACAATGTGGAGGAGTGAAGCCGCCATCTGTGCTTGTCAGCGCTTGGGGAGCAACAGAGGACTATTATCCTATGTAAGTTGATGAGGATACCGACAAAGCCATTCCATGTTTTGTGCCTCTTCTAATTTAGATTCCGGATTAGTTCTTTTCAACGCAGGCAGTGTAACGAATTTATGAAACTCGCACTCCAAGGCACAACAGTCCTTATCGCAACAGGCGATTACGGCGTCGCTGGTAACGGTCCCCAATGCTGGGGTTCCAACAATGATCGCTGGACTGTCGTGGCGCCAGCAAATTGTCCCTATGTAGAGGTGCCGGACGGGCCAACGCCGCGGACGGGCCAACGCCGGATTTCTCCCCAACAGTACTATCACAAACTTGAAGCTGTAGAGCTCTACATAAAAGCTATTATCGCGAGAAACTCTAGTATAGTAATCTCGTAGTATTGTTTATTTGATCTATCTACTGATATTTGATTGGCAGCTTGATGGGGCGGCCTGAACGCGAGCGTGGTGATGGTGGTGCAGCTGATCGATTAGCTCGCTGCGCACCACCACTACTACTGCCAACGATAATATTCTTTGATGCTAGCTCAGTAGAGCGCTTGAAGGTAGGCTTCTTTCCCCTTTGTGAGATTTTGATAGCTTTCTGTAAGTCGTTTGTGGGC